CAGTACTGACCCCTGGGGGACACCACTTGAAACAGGTCGCCAGCTGGACTTCGCTCCATTAACCACCACCCCTTGAGCACAGCCCTCCAGCCAGTTTCTTACCCAAAGGAGTGTGTACCTGTCCAGGCCACGGGCAGCCAGTTTCCCCGGAAGAAGCCTGTGAGAGACCATGTCAAAGGCTTTGCTGAAGTCTAGGTAGACTACATCAACAGCCTTTCCCTCATCTACCAGTCTGGTCACTAGTCATAGAAGGAGGTGAGGTTGGTCAAGCACGACCTGCCTTTCATGAACTCGTGCTGGCTGGGCCTGATCCCCTGGACACCACACACATGCCATGCGATCTCCCCCAAGATGATTTGCTCCATTACTTTCCCCGGTATCGAGGTCAGGCTGACAGGCCTATAGTTCCCTGGATCCTCCTTACGGCCCTTCTTGAAGATGGGAGTCACATCAGCAAGCCTCCAATCCTGTGGGACCTCTCCAGTTAACCAGGAGCACTGACAGATGGCCGAGAGCGGCTCAGCAATCACCCCCGCCAGCTCCCTCAGCACCCGAGGGTGTTGGCCATCCAGTCCCATGGACTTGTGACAGTCCAGATGGAGGAGGAGCTCCCTGACTGTCTCCACCTGAATTGCTGGGGGTGCTTTCTGAGTAGCATCGCAGACTTCCAGATCAGGGCATAAAATGCCCAGAGGATAACTTGTCTGACTAAAGGCAGATGTAAAGAAGGCATTGAGGACCTCAGCCTTCTCCTTGTCCTCAGAGGCCACATTCCCTGCTGCATCAAGTAAAGGATGAGAATTGTCCTTGGTTCTTCTTTTGCTGTTGATATATTTGTAAAAGGATTTTTTATTGTCTTTTAATGCAGTGGCCAATCTGAGTTCAAGTTGGGCTTTTGCCTTCCTAACTTCCTCCCTGCATACCTTAGCTACTTCCTTGTAATCTCCCCAACAAGCCTGTCCCTTCTTCCAGAGGACGTAGACTCTCTTTTTCTCCCTGAGACTCAACAGTAGATCCCGGCTCATCCACACCGGTCGTCTACCCCTGCGGCTCGCCTTACGGCACTCAGGGACAGCCTGTTCTTGCGCCTTTAAGATTTCCGTCTTGAGAAGTGTCCAGGCTTCCTGGACCCCTTTACCCTTAAGAAGTGACTCCCAAGGGACCCGTGCTACAAGCACCCT